CGTGAGCCTGGCGCGCCAGGGACTCTGTGAGCGCCGTGAAGCCCGAGGCGTCCATGAACACGACGACGGCTTCGAATCGGCCCTTGTAGTGGACATGCTGCACGTGCAAAAGCTGCACATGTCTACAGAGTCTCAAGTATCTGAAGTGCTGTGCTGCAGAGCAAAAACACTGTGACGGGAAACAGCGACTGCGAAAACCACGGGACGGTATGCCTGGGAATGACCGGGTATGACTGGGTATGACCGGGTACGACATGGTACGACAGGGTATGACCGGGCACACGGGCGTACGTGGGCTCACTCGGGCTGCAGTCGTGGAACGCGGCCGCAATGGAATCTGAACATCCCAAGGCATGTAGTATACAGAGTCTGTGCAGCATGCACTGCTGGACACAACTCACCCACACTCAATCTGCCTTTTTGCATGCTCTCTCCTGTTCGCTTCGTGGGGGCTTGATTTCGGGGTTGTCCACCCCGATCTGGGTTGTCTGGAATCCGAACAGGGTTTCGACCAACAATGCCCGATTCGTTACTCCTAAAAGACCATGGCTTGCATGTTAAAAAGCAGGGCCCCACCACTCCGGGACGGCAACTGCCTGTAGGCCTTTCGCGCGTGAGCTGTGGTCAAGTTTCCTCACCAACTACCAAAGCCCCTCTTATGACCTCCACACGGAACCCTCGAGAAAAGAAGGGGAGGAAGGCATTGCGTGATGAGACTCTTTCTTTCTGGGGCCCTGGCCTTGCTGGCATTGTATCTGCTGAGATTGCTGTGCCCTTCCAAGATCGCTCGCGGGAAGTCCTCTTTGCAAATGATGCCTCAAGGACAAGGACAGCACTAATATGCACTAATGCTCGGGTATGCATGGCTTGGAGACAAGGCTCCAGAGTCGCGCGGCCGCTATGGTAACACATGTCTGAGCATGCTTTATGCATGTTCACCTGTCTCGACGATTCCTGTACGCCGTATAGCCTTGAAGCTTGATCTCAATGTTCAAACCAGGTGGAGGTGCAGAGAGGTGCGCATGATTCTCTATCGGCCTTGTTCGATGGCATCGCACACCGTGTGAGACAAATACCTTGGTCCGCACAGCTTACAGAGTAACGCGTATCGCCTCTAGCAGCCTCTAGCATGAACGTGGGGACATGATGGGATATGCAGGAACGCTTGTAGAACTTTGAACGCGAAAAGTTAGAGCGTATCACCAAGAAGTCTGCTGAAGCCTAGGTGCTGTAGCATCGAATTCTGCAAGAGTTGTGGCCGCCGGATGACGGACCTGCAGATGAGCTCGCAATGGCTTCCCCAGTTTGAGTCCAAACTGGGAAATCGTGCAGCACGAAGACCCGACATGCAGATACGCAGTATCTTTCACATGATGTACTCAGATCTTTCCAGGCTTGATGAGCCTTACAGAATCCTAAGCGAAGCTGCTCGCCTTCGTGTTGGCGTTAGCGATGGCTGAGGGGCAACTTCGATGCCCTCGCCTAGCTGGGCTTCCACCAGCTTGCCTAAGCTGAGTGATGCCAGAAGGTCTACGCACGGAGGAGGACACTGCGATACCTGATCGGTTGCTGCAGGGCATGCTCTGTTGTGGCGCAGAATCGTGCAGAAATTGTAAACTTGCGCAACACCAAGAGGTTGCAGCTTGAAGCCTTGCAACTTAGAAAGAATCGTTCAGGAAGCGCAGCTGGAGGTCAGACTTAACTATCGAAGGCCCAGAAGTGAAAGGAACAAGTCTAGTCAAAACGAGGTATCTTGGGTCATCATGTGTCCTTACAACCTTTATAACGTTACATCTAGTTGCACGAGCTTCAAAATAAAGACTATGAACCTTTGAGAGCCAGCGTTAAGGACACTAAAGTATATCCGTGTGCTACTATTTCGGAAGGAACATTTGCACTGTAACAGATGTCAAACAATTCCGGAAATCCAGGAGTTGATGGTGACTCTGCTCTAAAACACACCGTTCTGCGTAAATCTGGGTAGTACGAGTCGCTATGCCAGTGCTACCCCTGCGAAACAGCTAGCATGACTCGGAGCGGCATGAAAACACATGCGTCTTGCTCGGCTATTTCTGCGTCTTGCAAGATTGAAGAGAACAACATTTGCTGCTGCCATTGGCACGGGTGTTGTTGTCGACCTCCTTCTCCGCCACGAGGGCGTAATACCTGACAAGTTGCACAGCTCAATGTTTGACGTTTGACGTCCATCAACTCTCCACGTTTGACGTCCATCAACTCTCCATTCCAACAGTCAGGAAGGGTGTCGATTTGCGCATGAATCGCCTCCACGAGTCTGTGCCATCAAGCTCATCTTCGTCGCTTCGCACGAAGCTTGTCCTTGCAGTTGTTCGAGTAGATTCAGATGTTGTTGCGATTTGTCTCCAAACTTGGCTTACCAACTTGAGGATCCGAACGCCGTTTCTTTATCGACTTAGTCTGCAGCCGTGCCTGATGTACTGCAGTCTGAGGGGATGGCAGCTTCGAGTAGTCTCTTGTCGGTCTCCGTAAAGGGGAGCCATCTGGTAGCGGCACCTATCGGTACACGACAACTACAAAGGTCAATCTATGCACCGCTACGAGTAGAATAAACAATCCGCAGTGAGGCTGGCATTCCCACGATCCCCTTCACCTTAGGCGTCCTCCGACCTTGGCTTTCTTCTGGGCATTTTTCAGATTTGTCAACAGAAGCACCGCCAGCCCTTTGTTCTCCTGCAATGTTGCACGAACAAAGCGCCAAGGTGCTTTAGCCCTTGCATGGGCATGGCAGCTGGTAATATTTCGAAAATTTGTCATGACAGTCCCGGACACTCATCAACACAGAGCAACATCGCATGTCATTTGGCTCTTTCAATGTTGGCATTGAAGCGGCAGCAACATCCTGCTCGCAGCAACCCAGCCTGCTCCTCGGGAGCGTCGTCCGGCACGATCGAAACTGTGTCCTGAAAGGCCACCATGAGCCGACTTGGGGTGCTCAGCTCGCATGATCTCACAGGAGAACCCTGGATCTTTCGGAATGAGGCGTTTGATGGCTTCTGACTTTACATGACTTTACCAAGATACTAGTCTCCGCCGTCTCTGCCATGATCGAAACACCGGCTCGGCAACATGGAAGCAAGTATGGGCAGCATGAGGGTTACAATTACAAGGTTAACGAATTCGGTGCCACGATTCCCCTTCCTCTCAAGCCAGCAGCTTGGACCCTAGGAAGACCAGGCATGTCCTGTGTAAAGTCATACGAACTCCTTGTGTGGACTTGCAGCCTTCTTATTCAACGACACTGCGTTGAAGCTCCAGCCACCCGAAGGTGCCACGTGCATGACAGTGGTGATGAGAAAATCTTCTTCGAGAACACGCAAAAGTTCGCAAAAGATTCCTGACAGAAGCCGAGTGACTTTCCGTGAGCCTCCGCTTCCAGCACGAGGCGCGCGCGGCTGGGTGCTGGGAAGGGCCTGACCACAGTTTGGCAGCACGGCGCCCATTCAAAGTCCTTACATGGTCCTTTCTTCGGCGGGCCCTATCCCAGCTTTCGAGGTACAAGAGGAACCAAGCCTCACGGAGAGGTTCCGGGGACAGGACCCTCAATAGCGGCAACAACAATCACGCCTTTTGAGATGTAAATTGCGTGTAAAGGGTCTGTGGAACCTTGTCTTTGATAGACATCTCTACGTTTCAGATGAAGGGCATCTGGGTGCGACTAGGGCTTCCAGATACTTGCCGGACTTGGGCGAGACTCGCCCAGCAGAGCTGCTCAAAGCCTCAAATGTGAGCTTTGCGGAATTGCTTTCAAGCGCAAAATCTCTGGAATCGGCAAGTGCCATAAAGTGCCAAGAACATCGCGTTGCATGGGTTGCCGTTGGCAACGACCGATGATCTACCCGGAGAAGCAATGCTTTAAGATAATGTTTTGTGCCGACTTGGAGGCTAGTTTGCGTGGGAAGGACCTGACCCCACAGACATGATCTGCGGCAGCCTGCCGATAGTTCCAAAGCCACTCGACGCAAGGGCCTCAGTTCTAGAAACGTGCTTCGCTCTCAAATATAACATCTAATTACCTGATTTGACACTTGACGGCCCATGCAATTACAGATAAGGTGGATCATTGATGATAATTGTGAACGAGTATGAATAGACGGAGCTGTTAAACTCACCACCTGCCAACGACATGTGCCAACAGTATGTCATCGCACCCCGCCGATGACAGGTACGCCTCAGTGTTCATGCGCTGGCTTCGCCGAAAGCCAGCAATCATTGGCAACAGCGATCTCTAAGCAAAACCCTCCCGATCCTCCCGTCACCTCCCGTTCGATCCAAACTTGCGACCAGCGAGCACGGCATTGCGGAGGGAAGGCATGGGATCGCGGGTTTTGTCTAAGGCCGCGAGCCCCGAAATGAGGCCCGTGGGCCCTCGCAACGGGAGATTACAAGGGCTTAAGCTTAAGTTGTTTTCAGCTCTGAAGTGAGGTCAGAATGGGCTGGGCTGGTAGAGCTTGGTGGAGTCATGTAGTGAAGTGTGTTGCAGCCTGCCCAGGGTGGGTCATGGCACCAAACTCATGCATGAGATATATGTATGTATATATATATATATATGTCTGTGGCTTCAGCATTTGCTGGCGGACCGCGTCAAGCGTTAGACTGCTCTGCATGACAAGCACGTGATGAACATGCTGTGATGCCGAATCGTCGGGTTGTGTAGCTGGGACATGCTTCGGCAATGCGGACTGCTGATCCAATGGCTCACCTGTGGAGGCGTGCTGTGGAATCAGAACATCCCGCAGCCAGCCCACTACCAGGGACTTGCATCCTCCGCGTGCAATCATGACATGCATCCATGGTGCACGGGAACGATTCCTGTCAGAAGCAACGAGGATGGGCATGCTGCCGTGTCTAGCTATCGTCACCATGATTACAACTCATCTGACGCCGAATGCCTGCTCACTGCCAAACCCAACCAATGTGATACTGCATGATTCACTGGGATGGTGCATAATGAGACCGCGCGCCTTCTGGTGCAAGGGCAACACAACACCCTCCTGACTACGGGAATCCAAGATATGCCGATGCATGTGTTCATGAAAAGGTGCTGTTTTAACACACCACCGCACCTTCTATAAGACGCTCGATCATCTCCTGATGCTACGCTTCGTCCTCTTCCTCTCCCTCCTGCTCCCTCTTCCTACTCAATTTCCCAGTTCGACTCCCACTCTCACTCCCACAACAAGTGCTACTACCTTCTACTACTACTGCTACTGCTACAGCTGCTGCTACTGCTGCTGCTCCTGCGGCTGCTGCTACTGCTACTGCTACTGCTACTGCTACTCCTGCTGCTGCTACTGCTACTCCTGCTACTGCTACTACTACTACTACTACTACTACTACTACTACTACTACTACTACTACTACTACTACTACTACTACTACTACTACTACTACTACTACTACTACTTACGCCTATGCCAACGCCAATGCCTACGCCTCCTCCTGCTCCTCACATGGCTCGGTTCAGAACTCGAGCCTCCCAATATGTTCCTTGAAAACAACCGGGAATCAATCTTACCCGATTGCTTCACTGCAGGGGTTCTGGTTCTGCGGTGTACCTCCCGAGAGAATTACCTTGGTTGTCTCCCTTCATGTGAGCATTTTTTTCATTGTGTGGGCTCTTCTCATGGCATTGACATCCTACGCGGGCCTACGCGTGAACTCATGTTTAGTAGCCGCGCGGCCTACGCGCGGAGTATGTTGTTGACGCGTGCCTATGCGGACCTACGCGGCAGGCACTCGAACAAAGCGCAAACGCATTATTTGACTTGCTATATTGCAGCCACTGGCACATTCGGACTACTCAACCAAACTTTCTGCCCAACCCTGCCCGAATGGTGATGTTGACGCATGGGCTACGACGTTGAAAACGACACCTACGACTACGCGCGGGCTACGCGGAGCCTACGCCGCGCCTACGCGGAATTCCTACTTATATATGCAGTTATACATAGGGATATTTCGATATACATATAGTGAGTGAGTGAGTGAGTGAGTGAGTGAAATGGCCCACAGATGTTACTGCGGCCTACACCATCTTCCCCCCCCATATCGCAGAGCAGCTCCGAAACCGTCATCGCCGCTCTCCACGAAGGGTTCGAGATGGCGGGTACTAATGCAGCCAAGCATCCTTGACTAGAGGGACAGTGGCCCGAAAGGCTGGGTGTACTAACTACGACAATACTCCGATGGAGCAAAGGGGTCGTAGACGGCTAGTAGGGGGTGTATATTGTCTGCACAGAAGAATTGGGGCGTGCTGCGCGCACCTAGGGCCCTGTGAGGCCGAGATGAGTGGTGCAGGTTGGTGACGCTGAAGGGGGAGGACAAAATCGGGCGCTGCAAGCCTACGCTGAAGGTCTAAGAGCCCAGGTAGGCCAAGATGAGGGGGACTGTTTGCCTACACGAATGGACCTGCGGTTCTGGAGGCCGAGATGGACTAGGAGCCCTGAGGAGGCCAAGTGGACCGATGGACCTGCGGCCCTGGAAGGTCACAGAGGAGTGCATCAAGGTAAAGTACCTCGGCTGCAGCAGACACGCCCTTGGAGTAGGCTCTGTTAAGCTCGGAGAAGGGCTCTGTAGGGCACCAGCCATGACGAGATAGCGCCAGGCGTTCGGCGACTGGAGCCTCTATGGCTTTGAGGTTTTCCTCCAACATGGATAGAGGACGCCAGCCGCCAGATGGTTTAGCCAAGTGAGGGTTGCAGGTGAAGGGAGGCCTACTAGGGGAGCATAGCCTAGAGATCCCCCGAGAATCCATTGGATCATGGCTCGCCCCTCATCCCATGAGCAGCACTTGCAGGCGAGACGGTGACGAACGGCTTCTAGCTTGGTTACGAGGTCTTGAGCTGCCAAAGTATGGCGGTCAGCCACCGTCCCCCGCTTGCCCAAAAGAGTGTCCCAACTGGTGACAGTGGCCCCATTTTGGTGGATGCGCGGGTCTTGGATGGCAGGCAGGGCTGAGTCCCAGTCAGACGCAAAAGCCGAGAACTTCGACCAGGCAAAGCCAACACCCGAAGCTTCGCTGCCCCTAGCATGGTACGCGCTGCGGATGAACCGGAGACCTACAACAAGGCGCTGACAGCACTGAGCGGCAGGCAGGAAGGGGCGTTGCCGGCGGGCGAGGGCCTGAATTTCAGATTGCAAAGCGCGAGAGTTGCGCAGAGAGGCGAACTGCTCCAGTTCCAGGTCCTCCAAAGAAGCTGGCGAGAGATGGCAGATTGCAACCCCCAGTGCTTTGGGGAGCACTCCACGGTAAGCCAGGTCAGTACCACACTCCTTGTTTGCAGATGCCGCACTGCTGCCAGCGACATCCTGTGAGAGCAAGGCCTCCCTTGCTGGAATGGGTACCAGCCAACGCCAGGCAGCAAGAATGGGCCACCTTTCCACAACGCTTGGTGGAGGAGAAGGGGGATGTTCACCGCCCCTCCGTTGAACAGAAGTTTGCCAGCGACGGGCAGCTTCGAGCAGATGAGAGGAGCCAGCAATGGCGGCCAAATCTCTCTCCATGTCGTCCCGCAGGAGGTTCACAAGCGGGGCCAGGGCTGTACAGCCCATAACTACGTGCCGCGGGGTACCTGGAGCCTGCCGGCACAAGGGGCAGGTACGGTGGGATGGATCATCCACACGGGCAGCCCATTGTGAGGCAACAGTGGCTTCAGTAGCATGCGCATGTAGGCATTCTGTCCAGCTCCCCCCAATGGCCCGGTGGAGACGAAACGCCATCGCAGACAGGTCTAACGGGGAGGAGTCTGCTGGCAAGAGCCATCGTGACCACGCAGTAGTGAAGTTGCACTGTGTGTAGATTGAGACATCCAGGGTGGGGGTGAACACCTGGTCTAACAAGCGTGGCAGAAGCCCTTGGACAGGCCGACTACGCCAGGCTTCGATACTTTGTGCACGTAGGATGTGCCGAATGCATGGGCGAATTGGGCCCGTGACCATGCGCCCATCCAAAGCTGCCCAGGCAAATGGACCGCTGCTGGGGTACCGTACGTCTGGTGGAGAAGGGTTGGCGGACGCAACACGGCAGCCTGCGTCTTGGGCTTCATTGCCTTGTGTGAAGACTGGGAAGGGCAGGGACGTGTACTGCTGGTGACTGCGGATGTCCAGCCCCACCACCCCATCTTCTACGAAGGCAATCCGTGAGAAGGTCATTGAGGGGCATACGGACGTTCCAGTGCTGGGGAAAGGCGAGCTGGTGAAGCCTCCAGGAAGGAGGAGTGGCTTGCGCGGCCCAGGCATGGCGGAGGTCGTCCAAGCCGTACTTCAGCAGCGACACCAAGTGAAGCGAAGGGGCAGAAAGGAGCTTTGACAAGGAACCTGCAGAAGCTGTGCGCAGAGAATCGAAGAGGGCGCTTCTGTCAAAAACCAGGAGATGCCAGTTGTCGGCCCGGCGAAAGCGAAGGGAGACTGCTAAAGAGAGCAACTCTGCAGTGTGAATGGTCGAGGACTCCCAACCATAGCGCGTAGGAAGCTTACCCTGGATCTGCCGAGAAACCCATGCTGAGCACTCCCAATACTGACCAACACTCCCAAAGCCCCTGGCTTGACAGGCAAACGTGGCACCATCTTTGGAAAACCCCCCGTCTCCATAGATGGCACTATCAGACGTATCCGACGCATGGGGTAGTGGGGTGAGGAGGGCTCTGGCACGGGGATTGCAGGCCAAGTCCCAGGGGTCTTCCCAGGCCAACTGGGGCCAGTTTTCCGAGATGTACTCATGTTTTCGGCTCAACAGGGTTGAAGGCATTGTGCCGGAGAGGGCGAAGGGGGTAAGGAGGTCCAGGTGGGGGCTGGAGGCCAACGCAAAGAACCGCGACCCACTCTGGAGAGTAGCGGGCCTGTGGCAAGGAGGCAGGGCGCATACGGGAGGCCCAGCCCTTGGCGTCTTCAAAGTTGTCGGTGAGGTGGGGGAAGCAGAGACGGTGGTAAGGTTGGCTCGCTTCTGCTTGGCCGTGCCCTTCCGGGCAGGGTCGTTACATGGTTGTTTAGTATGGGCCCTTAACAGCGGACCGCTTGTGAACCCAATTATATACTCTGGTTTAGGGTTAAGGGTTCCGGGTTTAGGGTTTCGGGTATAGGGTTTCGGTTTAGGATTCCTATACAACCCACACTGAGACAGTAAAGCCTACACAAAACCCAAACCGATCCCCTCTCACCCTATCGACGCCCCACGCCAAAAGCAAGAACGGATGCTTTCAAGACTTTCCACAGAGTCAGGAAGGATTTTGGGTTCCCGAAGCCCCAGACCCTAAACCCTGAACCGATTCGGGTTTTAAGGTAGGGTCCCCTCCCTTAACAAGGCCCAACACGCCCTAGGGTTCAGAACTGCACAGCATCTCAAGCTTACTCTCTAAACCCTAAACCAGAAACCCTAAACCCCAAAACGCCCTAAACCCGATATACATATAAATACATTTTGTCATAAATATAATTAAATATACACAGAAATATGAAAACATTCTGAATCAATATATATATATATATACATATAGTGACAAAACCATATAGTTACAGTTATATATATATATATATAACAATTAAACCAACAACCTACGCGGACCTACGCGGACCTACTGCGTAGACTTGCCTACGCGGACCCTGCGCAGACCTACGCCCTGCAGGCAAGATGCTACGCGGCCGACTTTCAATGTTCGCGTCTCTACGTGGCCTTGCTTGTAGAAAAAAACGCTGCTCATGTTGCCTTTTGTCAGACTTGTCACCTTCGGGAACAGGACTGCGCGCCGTGTGCTCGCCATCGTCTCCCTGCTCTTTCCCTTGTGGAGCCGCAAACGGATCTTGTGAACCGCCCCGGTCTTGTCTCCCTTCCTGCCTCCTTTCGATTCTTGCAATCACGGTCTGGCACTGTTTGGGCTCTGCGTCGGTGCACGCTGAGGCCACGTCCACAAAGGGCGTGCGGAAGGGTCACCGCTACAGCATGACAACTTCATGAGTGGCGAAGGGTGCAAATAACAATTCTTGCCGCCAAGTACTTGGCAGTGCTCGCGCCTCCTCCGAAGCATCTTTGGCATCTGCAGGTCGCAATCGTGCGGCAACACCGATCTTGAATTCCTCTCAAAACCATGCTTGCAGCTCAGAATTTGTCTGAAGCCCCACGCTTCATGTGATACACTGATATACAGTGTTGTTCTTGCTGCTTTTAACACTGACAGAAAGCTGAACCTGTAACGATCATCGGGGATCATCTGGCATGACGTGAGCTGGTGATCAAAGATCCCCCCCCCAAATAGTCGGGCCCGGAAAGCTCCGGAAATTGGGTGGAAACCCCAAGTAATAAACCCACCCTCGAAACCTTGCGAGCAGGCTGATTCTCTGTTTTCTGTTACTCATTCTCAAGCATGTTTTTACTTTGAGTTGTGAGTTCGGCTCTAGGATTGGACTGTAAAGCAAGCGGGGGGGGGGGGGGGGGTTAATGTGATAATCAGCTATAGGGGTTGGGAGCTGACTTTACTTTGGCTTGGCTTAGGGCATTTTAGCATCAGAGTATTGAAGGCCTAAGCCACAAACCCTAAACACCAAACTCGAAACCCCGAAACCTGAAGCCCAACACGCCAAACCCTAAGCCTTCAGGATGAACATATATGTTGGATGATTACATGCAACAAGGGTCTCGGGTTTAGGGACTGAAGCGGTTTTGATCGGTCGGCCGGTGTTTCGGAAATTCGGCCTGAAGGCGAGCATAGGGGCTTGGCAGGGAGCACCCTTCCCAAAAACAGTTAAAGGGTGGCATTTCAGGGCCCAAGCAGCCCAAGCCCCCCACAATCCCCCAAACGGCCCAAGCCCCCCAAAGCCCCCCAAGCGCCCCAAAACGCCCAAGCCCCAAGCGCCGCAAGCCCCACGAGCGCCCCAAGCCCACAGTTTGGTATTTTGCCACCACCGCTCAGACTAATGACTTGAATTCGTCGGGCGACTGTACCCCTGTCAGGTCCAGCAGTCTCAGGTTATGGATCCAAACCATGAAGCTTGGTATTTGCAATGGTCCTAGAATCCCTGCGAAGAGGCAAGACAACTTGAGTGTCAAACATATACGCTTATTGAGCACCAGATGTGGGCAATGCCATCAGTTCACAGGCACCGCCCCAAGCAAATGCAAAGCATGACCTCAGCCTCGACGTCATGGAGGCCGCTCCTGGAGCAGGCACTACATGCATACAGGAGTGCGTTGTTCGCATTGAGAGGTGATGGATGGATGCAGGCGACACACCCCTTTCCCTCAGTCTAAGCGTAAGGCGTGATATCCGGTTCCGTGCCATCTCTCTTGGCGCAAGCCAGTGCAGCTGCCTGGCAGCAGCGCTTCTGTGCCAGACCGGTCGGACCGATCATGGGCACCCCAGCATGAGAGTCCATGCCCGCATCAGCACAGCTCCATTTCGCTGGAGCTCCAAGAGTGGTATACTAGACTTCTTGCACAGCTGCTGAGATCAACGCTCTGCGGCTGTCTTTCATGGACTGCAAGTATAGCTCCTGCGGACTCAGTCTTGAACCCTTCGTCCCGACATGTCCCGACATGTCCCGACATGTCCCGACCACAAGTCACAATACCGTACCGGGCGATTGAGAGCGACAGCAGTTGGCTGACGGACAGAGGGAGGGCAAAATCAAATGCAACGTCTGGGCAGGCCATGTCAGACACATTCAGACGCCCTCTCCCAGTTCCACACACACAGTCCTTGAAAAGGGACTGGTAACTCTCGGCGACTCCATCAAGGCAGGGCACATACACCTGATTTGGGGCAAGTTATGAGATTTGCACAACCACTTTGATGTCTTCAAGGTAGGCTTGATGCCATGCAAGCTTGAACTGCTGCAGTTCGCTTCTGTCCGACTGCAACGAACTGGCACCTCTCAGGCTTTGGGGTGAGGTGCCCTGGCTGGATATGGCTTGATTTGCTGCCGAGCTTGGGATCCCTGCGCTGCGCCTGCCCTTGGACTAAAACGCCTTAGAAGCCCTGAGAGCCCAACATCCTGAACCCCCAAAACCCGAGAACTTCATAAAGCCTCAACCCACTCGCCAAGACAATCGAAGACAAGCAAACCCCGCCAAAGTCCAGGTAGAGTCTGAGTCTTGGGTTCTATACAGTCAGCCATACCCAAAACAATCTGCACGGTTCCGCCTCTGACTCCTCTGCAAGGCGCTCGCAAAGGAAGCGCCAGTATCCTCTAAACAGGTGCACTCACGGGTGTGATTTGTCAAGCCGCTAGTCGATTCTTCTTTTTGAATTGTGTTCTTGAGTCTCTTTGCCTCTTCTAGTTCACGGATCGAGGGCATCATGGCTATGAGATCTGCCAAGTTCAAGGATGTAAAGAGCAGTCGCAGTCATATACAGCAATAACCTTACACCATAGTCTCGCCCTGATGAAGTTTGTTTTTCAGAATGATGCTGTGCTGGCCGTCACCTATACTGATGATCTTGGAACCCTAGCAGAGATGTCAATTTTAGCTGTTTCTTAGGAATTATAGTGTCCCAAAATTACAAATTATTCCCAACAATCCCTCGTCACATGGGCGAAGAGGCCACGCTGCAACCGTTCGACTTTCAAACACGGAGTTGAAATCCAGACCTTGGGCCTCGATACACTTAAGAAACTTAAGAACCGGCTCTTAGACATGCTGTCTGAAGATCAAGGGACCCGGTACACTGAGCATGGAGCTCGTGCAGCAACATTGCGGATCGGCAATATAAAGCCATTGACAGGCCTTCTCCTTCTGAATCAGGCCCCACACTGCCTTCCAGCACTTCTGCTCTGATCCAGACTTCCAGAAGCTGTTTCGCAGTGATTTGAAACGTGCTATCCTGGAGGAAGACATGAACTGACACGAACTGGTTGCCACACGGATAAGGAACTATAGAGATGCTGTCCTTTATAGCATTCGCCCCTTGTTACAAGTTGATTGTCGTAGGGCTGTACAGCTCTAGACAACTGCTGCACCCACCAGCTCAAAAAGTCATCTGCGGCCTCCAGGTTCAGGCTCAAGGTTTCGGGTTGGAACTGAGAAAGGCTGCTGAATGCAGCGCTGGTGCGCTTGCCTAGAAGGAGTTTAAGGCTTGCATTGCCAACCCAGGTCCGTCATGGTTGGGGGCTTCTGAAGTTCAAGGAGTGGCTCGAGGTTCAACTGGATGTGCTCCCACCCCCCTTCCCGAAATGCCGGGAGCTTCTCCATAAACATGCCCACGCCCAAAACACTCCCTAAATACTCCAAAGCCATCCGCAAGCCCTGCTAAGCCAAAGCTTCCAGTATGGACCCTATAGATCCTGTAAACCCTTCTCATCCCGCAAAGAATGCCCTCAGCGGTCAGCTCCGCCAAGGGGGTTGGGGCACCCAGGATAACGTGCAGGCTCAGAGAATTTCCGAACTTCATTGGGGGGTTTAGGGGCTTAGGGGTTTTGGGGCTTAGGAAAGTTTAGTGATGAAGGATGGGTCAGGGAGAGGGGTCCCAGAAAGACTGGGAGTCTCGAACCTACGGTGTCGGACTTCAGGGCCATTAGGTGTACTCCATGAACGACCTCGAAAAGCATCCCACAGTCTAAACTTGGTCTGTTAAAGCCTCGGGAGCTGCTTTACTTCTCCATGAACCACCTGTGCAATCCAGCAATCAACTCCATCTCCTGTTTTGATTGGAGCCGCCGGCGGCCTGCGCTGCCCTGTAAAGCTCATAAAATGCCAGCCATGGATGTCCAAAGCTGGTAGTTTCAGCCTTGTTTGGAAAGAAATCTACAAACTTCGCAGTGTCTTCACAGATTGGGCAGGCGCACTGAGTTCCTTTCGCTTGCTCTGCCTCGATGAGCATGTTGCGAACAACCTCACGATTCTGGACATCTGCCAGCAATCTCGCTGCCCTGTCACTCAAGTCTGTTGGCCACTTGGTCCGATTGATGCCGGATACTTCTGGCCGCAAACGGGATAGCGAAATGCGGGCGAGCTTCTCCAGGGACGCCCGGACTACATCGTTTGCATTGACTCCGGCGAGACCCCAGCTCATGCCCCGAAACACCCAGTCTTCTTGAACCAGCATGATCTCAAAAAGGTAAGCTTCCTTTGTGGTCATGTCCACGGAACTGTCAGTGATACCAAATGCCACATACCCTTCACAATGGTAAGGATGCTCTGCGTTCTTACAAGATGTCTGGTCTGCAACAGCCAAGAAGGCCCGAACAATTTTCTCTGCGATTTGCGTCTCCACGTCTTCAACGTCGAGACCCTGCCTGCTGAGTTCCTCCTCAAGGTCTTGCATTGGGCCCATGAACCTCTTCATATTCTCGGAATGCGAATTGGCCACCACAAAGGCTGAGCGGTTCTGCACACCGATAAGCCTCAGTTGCTCCTCGCTCACAAGGCGTTGGCCACCCGTCTTGTAGTAGCCATCGCGACACACATATATCCGAGGAGGGTCCATGCTGGTCACCGAGAAAAAATGTCGCATCTCAAGCTTGCGACGGTGAAGGGTGGGCACTTGCAACATGGCCTGCTGCAAGGTCTGTGCTTTGAAATCGTGGATGTCAGCAAGCTCTGGTACAGTCATAAACCTGATCCCATCCTCGGATCAGCAGCAACATGAGAACAAGCAGACCTCAAAAAAAGAGGTTTCTTAAAGAGGGCATTTGAGCTGTCTCAAAATAGTAAAAGTATCTTATCTATACGACATCAATTATCTCAAGCACCAGTCCGGATACCCCCATAGCCATGCCGTCCTTATGGGTCAGCCCCATGGGACAGGGTTGAGGTTGAGGGCTTCCTACTGCAGAGGAAAACTAAATGGTAAATGTTAAGTTCGTACATTCCCTGGTCCTTCTTGGCAACCCACATGCTGTTGTCGCCTGCAGCTTCTCTAGCACGCACTTGGATGCTTGCATCCAGCACGTCGCTTTCAGCAACGAAGCATGGCGGCACGAAACGAAAGTCCACGCGCAATTCTGAGCTGGCCTTGTTCTGAGCTTTGCAAAGACTTGACTTCGAGGAGATCATGTCGAAGCGTGGGTTGTAGGTCACTAACCTGGATCCGGAAAACCTCGGATCCACACTGTGGAAAAAGCGATCTATCATCATCGACTGTCTAAGGCCCAAGGATTCGGTTGCATCATGAAGACGGTTCTGAACGAAGGTTCCACACATACATTCCATGTAGCCACCCCGGCTGTCACTCGGATCTAGATGCGTCTTCCAAAACCACACACAGCACCCCAGGAAATCCAAGGGGCATGGGTTTGGAGTCTCTGGTACACCTCTGCCAGTGCTCGGATATCTCACCGTTGCCCTTGCAGATGAAGGCCAAGTCAGTGGCTTCGCCGCAGTGCTGCAGCTCATCATCCTTTCGAAAGGATGCCCGGAACCCAGCCATGCAAATGGTCTCCAGAAGCCATTCCTCGTCGTTGCAGCCACTCAGGGTGACCTTTAAAGGCGTGCCCGTCCTGCCAGGAACAAGATTCCAAGACGCTCTTTAGGCTGTGAAGTAGAGAAGAGGTATCTTACAAGGCACCTGTTTGCGGCCCAAAGGCTTGTATGTTTTCTATGAGAGTTGAGAACATGTGGCAGAATCTCATAAACGGCATCTAGGGGGAGTCGAGAGGACACAAACCAACCCAGCTCTGGCCTGCAAACCTCCGGTAGCCAGTTTGGCAGCGCGAGTTGCTGCAGACTCCAGAACCCCGAGGCGATGACCAACACACCAAGGACAAGAAAGACCACGTGAGTAAACCGAGCATTGGTCAAGTAAGGCCTTTTGCCCTTGCAGAGGCGGCCACCGAACCACGCAGCACACGGGTCAAGTAGCCATCGGGCAACAGAACCAGCCTTGAAAAAGATCCTTGAAGCAACACCAGCCTTGCACGGCCAACATCGTGCCACTAGTTGCTGCACCATGTCAGCCGGCGCTGAACTTCAGACTCGAAGATGCTCAAAACAAAAAATATATATCTACAGGGAAAGAGGTTTAAGGCTTAGGCGGCATAAGCATAAAGCTTCCACCAACTGTTTGCACCACAGGGACGCCGGCAGAGGAGCTGCAAAGCCGCAGCATGAAGCTGCCAAATCAGCTTACGTGCCGCTTATTGTCATTGTAACTTGCCACAACCAAGCTTCAGGCTGACTTCGAATACATGCTATGCATTATCACGTTGTCCCATTCGTGTCGCTAATCGTTAGGAATGAACTACTTCCATCAAAGGACCTGAATCATAAACCCAAGTCACACCGAGACCCACTTTACTTCAAGCCACATTCATGCAAGCAATAATGAACAGAACAAGCTCGGGAGGTTCTTCAAAGCCACACTTGGCAATATCTCAAGTGCCTCTGCAAAAAGACGGAGATCCTAAACAATCTCCACCCCCTGCCAAACTCCGATGACGTCCTAGGTCCAAACATGTCCAAACTCTTCGAGCCACCCTGCCATGCCGGGCCTTGAAAGCCCAGTGCTCCCCGCAGCCCATGGCCTCAGAAACGAAGGGCAACCGAAGAGCAAAAGCATTTGGAGAACCGGGTCAATCGAGAAGCAATGTTGAAGCGCAACAGCAAAAAACACGTGACGACCCCGACGGACAGACGTGTTCAGAACATTAGGCCATCATTAGGGCTGAACGAATGTTCATGTGGCTGAATTAGCTCAGCAGTTTGCAACGGGCTATATTAGAATAAGTGGTGTATTGCTGTTTGAAACATTGGCTGGCAAAAAATGGGTGGAAGTCGAAAATTGCCTAGGAATTCTTCACGCAGCTTGTGAAAGAGCATGGATGCCTAACAGGAAACCCGACATGAACTGTATGAGTTCTCTAGAGCGCACTTGCAAGACTCCCCTGCCCATGACAACGTGGCAATGCTGAGTGCTGCGCAAATCTCAGGTGCGGCTGCGCGATGCGCCCTGGGCTGTTTAGGATTCAGGGTCTTGCTACACAGTTCTAGCATGGATGACGCTACAAGTACCGGCTGAATGCTTGCATTGGAAGTTGCAGGGTAGCAAGCGTGCGCTGTGCAGTGCTTAAGGGATTGGTTGCCTCGGCTTCACCGCGTTCAGCTGTTGTTCATGGGCTGTAGAGTTAACACAATAAAATCTTTGCCACCTCCAGAAATCTAAAGGCTGCAGGGTCGACGTAAACGTTGAGGGTCCGCAAATGCGCAAGCTTCGTTCCATTTCAGAACTTCTAATCCCAAATTCAACTTTGCTGAGCAGGGAGCCAGTCACAAAAGGCGAGGATGTGTAATGTTGGCAGCTCCTGTGTGCAGCATCGGGCTAGGGGGACATTCGCTTCAAATAGATTGCCAGACCCTGCGGCCCTGTGCGCGCAGCTCAACCCTGCACCGTGCAAAACTTCAAGCCGTTGCTATTGCCATGGCCTCTTTGATGCCACTTTGGCCGGTGAGGCTCTGGCCCATAGAGGCTGCGTTCCTCTCCACAGCTGCTCTGGCTTCGTGCTTCGCATGGAAATTACGTGCACTCACAAACCTGTTCAAGAGTTCGGGTTATGTAGATAGATATGTTTCACACAAACTTTCACGCAAGATTTTTCGGTTGTTACAGAAAGAACCAACTGTTTCAGAAATCGCAAAATCAAGAAGGTCGCAGAATCTTCATGAAGGGAATCTGCAGTGAAAAGCCTGTTGAATAAACACGTTGAAGCCTCTTGCATCGAAAACAACGCGCTTGAACAAGGTGTTTTCGATATCCACCACACAAGTCTTTCTTACATTTGGAAGTTTGTAAGTCCACAGTGCCTCAAAACTTGAAAATCTATGAAAATGCTTCCTGCTCACTCATGTTTGCAAGAGCACGAGCCCAAAAGCCCCAGACCCCAGACCAAATCTCATTCTTCCTTCGCTGTCTTGCAGCGATTTTGCACACTCGTTAATCAATACCATTGCTATCTGCAGGCCACCCAAAGCACAATTTCTTCCCATTTCTTCGCCCGCTTGCTCCACATCTGCGTGACATGCGTGACCCGCTGTACTGGACGCGCAGTCCAAAACTGTGACACCACAACGAGGTGAGAACTCGAACAAACTTAACTTCCATTCGGATGTACACTGCCTCTTGTGGGCAACCAAGACTCGGCAGATGACTATACACCTTTGGCTCATGAAAACATGGGGGGGACTAACATGACGATGCTGCTAAGATGCTCCCCAAAGTCAAAAGGGAAAGTGCAAGCAAAAGAGCTCTAAGGGCTGTGAAAGGCCTCTACCTCAGTTCGCATCAATCTTGTTCCACACACCAGAGGGGAGGGCAACGAACTCATGTGCGAAGCTCTCCATCTTCCAGAGACGGTCTCGGAGATTGCTGATCTTCTGGCTGGCATCGTCGATGTTGCGGACCAAGGACTCATAGTCAGCCTCTCAAACCCTTAAACGCCCAGAACTACTAGACCTCTAAAACCCTAAAACCTACAGTATCTACCCCGGCCTGTAGTTGCTGTGCATACTTGTTGTCGTACTCGTCAACTTCGGGCTTGATGTCGAAAACCAGATTCCTCTTCTGGTCCTGGCAGGAGCTGCAGCTACAGCAAAACAGCGCAAGTCTGTCAGCGAATTTTGCGTAACCTCACACCTGGAGGAGGATGGTACTGTTCGGCGTGACTGTCGGAGACGGGAAGGAGCCATTTGCCCGCCACCGATCCGGATGCTCTCCGTGGGGGCCGTAAGGAGAGGACGTGATGACATTCCCGACGCCCCACCGCTTCCTGTCAACCATGGTCTTGTAGTTCCAAACCATGTCCATCTCCTTTGCCGGCGTTTGCACAACTCATATCTTTGTTTATGTCTCGGTATATGTATATATATATATATGATTATATGGATAGGCATACATTGTCATGTCATGCATGCGTACATACATTCTATATATATATATATATATATATGTATATATCCACACATGTATATATGCGTGCGTGCGTGCGTGCGTGCGTGCGTGCGTGCGTGCGTGCGTGCGTGCGTGCGTGCGTGCGTGGGTGTGTGTGTGTGTGGGTGTGTGTGTGTGTGTGTGTGTGTGTGTGTGTGTGTGTGTGTGCGGGTGTGTGTGTGTGTGTGTGTGTGTGTGTGTGTGTGTGTGTGTGTGTGTGTGTGTGTGTGTGTGTGTGTGTGTGTGTGTGTGTGTGTGTGTGTGTGTGTGTGTGTGTGTGTGTGGGTGCGTGTGTGTGGGTGGTGTGTGGGTGTGTGGGTTGTGGGTGTGGGTGTGTGTGTGTGGTGTGTGGGTGTGTGGGTGTGTGGTTGTGTGGGTGTGTGGGTGTGTGGGTGTGTGGGTGTGTGGGTGTGTGGGTGTGTGGGTGTGTGGGTGTGTGGGTGTGTGGGTGTGTGGGTGTGTGGGTGTGTGGGTGTGTGGGTGTGTGGGTGTGTGGGTGTGTGGGTGTGTGGGTGTGTGGGTGTGTGGGTGTGTGGGTGTGTGGGTGTGTGGGTGTGTGGGTGTGTGGGTGTGTGGGTGTGTGGGTGTGTGGGTGTGTGGGTGTGTGGGTGTGTGGGTGTGTGGGTGTGTGGGTGTGTGGGTGTGTGGGTGTGTTGGTGTGTGGGTGTGTGGGTGTGTGGGTGTGTGGGTGTGTGGGTGTGTGGGTGTGTGGGTGTGTGGGTGTGTGGGTGTGTGGGTGTGTGGGTGTGTGGGTGTGTGGGTGTGTGGGTGTGTGGGTGTGTGGGTGTGTGGGTGTGTGTGTGTGTGTGTGTGTGTGTTTGTGGTTGCGTGCATGCGTACGTGCATGTCTCTTTACATGCATATGTCTGTCCGTATGTACGTATCTATATTTATATATAAATGTGCATGTGTATATATATATATATATATACATATTGTATGTTACAAACGCGTAAACCTATATATGTGCTCGTTCTTTCATGTTTGGATTACTTGCTTGTTCTAAACGACTTTAACTGCCAAAACGGCGGCTTTTGTGGGGTTGCGGAGTGTTGTTCAGTTCGCACTGCCCCAGAAATGCCCGCACCAACTGGTGCTGTACTGCTGCCTGAACTGTGCAGTTCATAAAAATCTTTCACATCGCCACCGTGCTTCCTTGTTCAGGTAGATCAACATCCTGTTGATGTACCTTGCCCGCGGTGGGAGCTCCTGCTTGCGGGAAGCCAAGGCTCGAGGTGCCTCTGACTCCAAGGACAGGCCACGGCCCGTGCGATTCCAGACAACTTCACGGCCGGTAGCGTTTTCAACCAGCTGCATCGTGTAGTTCACATATCCTTGCAGCACTCTCTTTTCGTAGTCTGCTACCAACATCATCTCGCTATTGGACTGCTACTTCGACTATGTAGACTCTCCCGAACAGCCAAACCCGAGCATCCATCCAGGATGATCAAGACCAAGTACTCTTGCACAATCGGTGACTGGAGCGGCTGCAGCAGCTTTTTGAAGTGGTTCTTGGTCCTGGTGCTGATGTCCTTCAGCCACTTATTGCTCCGGCCAGGCTCTTCCTCGGGTATGTCCTTGCGAACAGAAACATGTCTATCAGCAACACGGCTATATCACGCACAACTTGCTGGCAACACACAATTACAGAACTAAGTTGCCGTCAACATCAGGCCAAGACTAGACCCAGCCGTGAAATTGAATAGTTTTTTTGCCTGGAGTCACTGAAAGGGTCCGCATCCCCTCCCCTCAGCTGTGCACTGGCAAAAGGGTCCGGCTCGAAGAGCACGGGCTCTGCGGCACTCAGGGCAGCAACAGCAACAGCCAAAAGAGGAGCGGAGAAAGCCATGGCAAGAGCTTGAAGGATTGGGGATCGGATCGTTTTGGAGGCTGTGGCCTTGCTGCGGTTCCCGAATTTTCCTGAACTCCTTGGAGTGCACTCCTGCAGACTCTTGCAACCTCGGTTTCACACTATGCTGGATCGTACGAAAGCCCACCCTAAGATGCCCAGACGTCCCAGAAACACCATCCTCAGGCATACCAGAACCTTGCTGTACGCAGATTCGAGTACAACGATGTCAGGTAAAACAAGTGTGTATATATACAGACCCACGGCTGCCACCCTCTGCTTGCGACACTTTATGGCATCAGGCTGTCCTCCTCAGAGTTGTTCGCGCAGCTGGTCTTTCTGGCTTTTGATCTCTTGGGCCACCTTGCCCACAGAGGTCAACCGCCAAACAGCAGCGGCACAAAACAGTCAACAAAACACACAGTCACACACACACGCCCCCAAACGCACGTTGGAGCTACGACAGGTCACTCGTGTCATCACATCATGCTCAGACTTGGTACTTGTGTTCAGATGTTTTGAGGGTGTCTCGAGAGACCTGGCATCAATTGCCAAGTGCCTTCACTGCATTGGAGGGCGTTCATGCTGGCCGGCCTTCGGGCATAACTTTTGCACTGCGGGTTCTGCTGGCCAACCGCCTGTTGCGGCTTTTAGGACGAGCATGTGAACCACACCGATTGGGTGAAACAGTGGCCCCAGGTGACGCGGGAAAGAGCCCAAATGATGCAAACCAACGCTCCAGGGAATACCGGCAGGGCTCGGACGGCTAGGGTCACACCTGGACATGGCGCATGGACGACGACATGGCGACTTTGGCCACATCTATCCTTAGTTGTGTTCAGCATCCTTCGACTCATGTCGGGATATCTGTGGAATCTGATATCTCTAGCAGCATGTCGAAGAGTAGCGCAAGCCCGAAAGCGAAGCCAGCATGCGGGCAAGCATCAGTGCGAGGGACATGGAGGCAGAGGCCGTAGCAGTAGGTGAAGCTTCTGCGGCATCCTGGAGCAGGGCTTCGGCTTATGATTCAGGCATTGGCACCGATGTAAGGATTCGCAACAGCCACGTACACAGTATGATGAGAATAGATTGTGTTCTGCATGACCTGCACAAGCTCGCAGCAGAATACAGTTGGTGTGCATGCCTTGAACTTCGAAAGTGCTCGACGCCAGTGCCCGCAATCGGGCAGTATTAAGGAAGCCACCCAACAGCCTGTGCCCTGATCAATACACAATTGGCGCCGAAGAACAAAGTGAACGCACTGAATCTGCGAATTTAAGATGCTTTACAGGCCCACATGGCGTTGAAACAAATGCTGATGCAATGCTGTCTTTTCCACATCACATTGGTACGTGCTACTGCTGGTATGTTGTGGTGGTCGCGGCTGATGCTGCTGGGGCTGCTGCCTTTGCATTGTGATTGCCAGGTGGCGCCGTCGACACAGTGGCAGGTAAGTGTCGAATTCGGGGCGGCGCTTCCGCTTTGGAACTCTTCGACAACATCGCTGTTTACAGTGCTCATTTGCGTGTTCCAGGGTGTTGTGTCGTCCTCCTCCTCCTCCTCCTCCTCCTCCTCCTCCTCCTCCTCCTGCTGCTGCTGCTGCTGCTGCTGCTGCTGTTGTGGGTGTTTGTGGTGGTGGTTTGATGGCGTTGTCGTCGTCATCGTCGTCGTTGTCGCAGCGGCGGCTGCTGCTTTGTGCTGCTGTTTGGTTTGCTGGCGATCAATGTAGCTGAGGTGGTTGGCTGGTCGGTGGCTTGGTTGCTGACCCAGTCCTTGAAACTTTGGGTGGCAGCATGTGCTTCTGCAAGAAAGCAGCAATCAGCAACGGCACTGCTTGAAGAACGTTTCCTTGCTTTACGATTTCTTTACGATTTCTTACAATCGATGCCCTCAACCCTCCCTCACCTCGGCAAAAAGCCCATGGCTCGGCCTGCGGGTCGAGTTCCAGGTCATCCTCTGGCTGAGTCGGAGCCGCTTTAGCGCCCTGCCAGCTGCAGATAGCTGCAGATTTCAGACTCTTAACTTTCTCTTAACACTCTTAACACGGGCCACCGGGGTGAAGCCCTGGACTCGACGCTCTATCGAGGGCAACAGGTTGCGCTGGCGCCGCAGCCCCTGCCATGCTGCAGACCCCGCCGTGCGCACACATAAATACGAGAGCACACTGGGGATCTCAGGGCCTGCCAAGTGACTCCGAGCTGTCAAAAAGGATTTCGTACCAGAGTGGCTTTGGTAGCACTAACATGAAAAGGCATAGTACGCGGAAGTCCGGAACCCCGATCCGCCCCCCCCCCCCCCCCCCCCCACCCTTCCCGAGATTCCGAGTACACCGAGTGTGGCCTGAGCTCTGTTGCTGTGAGGTTCGGAGGTTGCAGAAGTTGTGCGAACTCTCGAATCAGGATGCCTAGCGACTTTGGCAGAAGTATGTGTGTGTGTCGGAACCTTGGCACACGTATCCAGCATTCGGTGCAAACAGCCAAGGCATCCACGACTTCCTCCAATAGAGGGCTTTAGAGAGAATGTCAAATGTCAGTAGCCAGCATAAAGGAAGCTTGATTACGTTCAGCCAGTTTGTCTTGGTAAATAGTCCTGATGTTCTTGGCGCATTGCGAGGATATTTGGCGTGTGAAGGTAAACACAGACTACTACAGCATAGATGCGCCTGTTCCTACACATCTCTCTCCGTGGTCCATCCTATAGGAATGACAGCAGCTGGATCTACCCAGCTGGCCTTCGGGCGCATGGCCATCTTGATCTCTTCTGCCCCATGCAGCTCTCTGGCCTGTGCAAGAAAAATTGTAAGCGTGCACTTCTTGTCCTCGACTTGCGGAAACAAGGCTCGGTGGAAGTCTCACCACGCCGCAACTTCCTCTGCCGCATTCAAGTCGACCATCAAGGCTGCTGCAGCTGCAGCTGCAGCTGCAGCTGCAGTGTTAGCAATCGGGTTTAGGTTTAGGTTTGCCGGTCGAGGTGTCGGCATTGGCCTCTGGATTCAACCCCTCTTAGTTAGTGGACAGAGTGAACACCTCAAAACACATCTCGAAAATCTTCGCATCACTCACCGACTTCCCAGCGGTCACCAACTCTAGCACAACAACGCCACGTTATGAATTCTTCAGAACGTCAGGCTTCATTATCAGAACGTCAGGCTTCATTATCAACACCACTCCAAACATCAAGATGAGATGGCTTTGGCAAACAGATTTGTTCGTCCCATGCGTTTCTCATGACTGTAGTGAGCAGTATACTATTGCGACAAAGGAAGCGGCTGTAGAGTAGTAGGCATTCAGACAAAACACTAAACCAACCTTGTCAGCACAAGAAGCACCAAAAAAGTATCCAGGCAGTCGGGCAAGGAGGCAGGTGAGCAGCCGCAATTCCTCGTCGCAGCGCTGTTCCTGCAATCGTTTTCTCATGGTTCTCCTATTACTTTACACCGATATGTCACTAGAGTAATTCCTTCAGCTTGATGCATGAAGATCAGACTGGCAGCGATAGTGACGTCGCAAGAAACCTACAAATCACGCAAACTGAGGCAGCTGCGTCCACATAGCACTCACGCATGATTCGCTCGAGGAGGCGTAGTTCCAGAATCGACGAAGACACTACCTGGTTGAGAGAACATGACATCAAAGCCAATTCTAGATCATCTTAGCCCTTTCGTAGTTACGTGTTCTGCTCAAAGTGCAGGGTCTCGATAGTGTCTTGATGAAGCACATCGAATTCCCACCACATAGAGGAAGAAAGTGTGCTCTTGCAGTCTCATACCGTAGGCCCTGCGGGGGGCAATATTGTATCCAGCCGCTTATACACATGCATCACACATGTTCATATGAATTTCGTCCCAGTCGTTCGTTTTACATGCGAAATGTCTGAGCGAGAATAGACAAGCAACTAAGCAGATATATGTACACGTATATGTATATATAGAAAAACACTACAAAAGACTTAAAGGCAGTCTTGAACATCAATATGTATGTTTGCTACACGCATACGTATACATACACACACACACACACACGTACATCTACTGCAATATCCTGCACGAAGCTGGGCGAGAGAGGAGTCCGCAAGGATGAACTATCCGGAAAGAGGAACCAAGAAGGAATGCTTGCGGCAATACACCTGGAAGCCCGGATGAGAATGCGCTCACACTACGCTCACACACACCACAACAGAACTGTAACAGACCTATCGCAGCTCCTGTAGGATGCGTGCCTCGCGGCCGGAACCCAGAAGAGCTGCTGTCGGGGAGCCTGTCCCAACGCATACAAAATCTCCCAAAGGCCGCATTTTGAGACGTCTGTGGAATAAGCTCCAGATGTTCCAGCTTGTTTGTGGAGGCTGCCATGACCATGAGGGCTAGTGAGGCTCGCAATAGTCGTGATTGAGGTGGTCCTTCACCACAAAAGGAAGAAAGGCTCAGACAGGCTTTGGATTGCGCAAGCCCCCTTCGAATTTTAGCGAATTTTAGCCACGGGCAGCTTCACAGCGCCAGATCCAAACCTTTCCCTGGGCTGCATGAAATAATATGAAATACTACATGCAGGCTTCGGAAAGCATGGAAGCTAACGGTGGACCTCCCTCTTCTTCCATCAGCTCGTGCCTGAGCATAGATCAACATGGATCCATGATGCATGCAAGCGCTTACACAAAATCGCTAGCCTGTCCACAACGAAGGAGCGACGCTGGCCAGCAATCTAGCATGTTCACACATATTATGTGTGAAGGAGTACTCATGGCATCCGAAAACTTTGTGAGCCCCGGCTGTACAGAACCGTTCATTGTGTCATCACCGTGATCACCATACAGTATGAATAGAGGCGTGCCCAGAACACGTACGTATCACCACCTCGAACCCACGCACGTCCACATGTCCGGCCCAGGCACAGGCACTCCAGCTGACGCTGTCGAGCCTCCTGCCACAAAGCTCCGATTACCCCCCTTCGGGGCACCACAGAAGCGTGTCTGCCGAATCGATTGCTTTTCTTTCGTCACCA